AAAAAAAAAAAAGAAATCAGAGTTCAATCTAATGCGAGACTTATCTCACTGCAACAATTGGAGAAACTCCCAAAGCTCTAAGTAGGAGGTTCAAAGGGGCTCAGAGGAATTGTTTTTTGAGACAGGGTCTCACTCTGCCCCTCAGGCTAGAGTATAGTAGGCCAATCATGGCTCACTTCAGCCTCAACCTCCTGGACTCAAGCTATTGAATTAAGAATGTCTGTTGATCAAATCATATCAAGATAACAAAGCTGAGTTTATTCCTCTTTCCTTGGCCTCCCAAAGTGTTGAGATTACAGGTGTGAGCCACTGTGCCTGGCCAATATAATGGTCTTGGACAAGCAATAACTGTGCTTAGCTTTGGAGCTAAGATAACAGATTTACAAAACAAAAATCAAAAAAATTTACACAAAAAAATTCCATAAATTTTACATTTGTGGTCTCTATTTTTTGATGTGCAATAAAGTTCAGCCACAGGAGCATTCCAGGGCCAGGTGACCCAACCCCAGTAAAAACCCTGGACATTAAGGCTCAGTGAGCTTCCCTGGTTGGCAATACTTGATACATGCTGTCATATATTGTGGCTGGGAGAAATGAGCAATGCCCATGTGACTCCACTGGGAGAGGACAACTGGAAGCTTGCACCTGGCCTCTCCTGGACTCTACTCTATGTATCTTTTTGCCTTTGCTGATGTTAATCTGTATCCTTTCACTGTAATAAACCATAATCAGGAATATAACACAAAAATAATGCTGACATTCTGCTAGAAATAGAAATCATTCAGTTTGCTAAAACTCCCGGTGGTATGAGTATTAGTAGATACATTTTGGTATGATTCCCTTGTACTTCTTGATAAAAGTCAGGAAGAAGGTGGGATTATGTCATTAAGCTATTAATGGTTACAGAGAACAATAATAAAACAATTAGCATTTATACAGCACTTTTTTCTTAGGATCCCAAATCTTTTTTTTTTTTTTTGAGATCAAGTCCCAGTCTGACATGTAGGCTCAAGTGCAATGATGCAGGCTCGAGTGCAATGACACAGTCTCAGCTCACTGCAACCTTTGCCTCCCAGGTTTAAGCCATTCTCCTGCCTCAGCCTCCCAAGTAGCTGAGATTACATGTGCCCATCACTACGCCCTGCTAATTTTTGTATTTTTAGTACAGACAGGGTTTCACCATATTGGTCAGGCTGGTCTCAAACTCCTGACCTTGTGATCCACCCACTTTGGCCTCACAAAGTGCTGGGATTACAGGTGTGAGCCACTGCACCCGGCCAGGTTCCCAAATCATTTAAGACACAATTTTCAATGTGACATCATTTCAAGTACCCAGATAAGAAAAAACTATAGTTCCTTTTTATAAGATGGAAAAAGTTAAATGACTTCCAATTAACACTATTAGTGATCAAACCAATAAACAGAATTGAGGATTCTTTACTATTGGTTCAGGGTTCTATGTTCTAAAACATGCTGCCTGTGAAGTTAAAATATGCTAGGAATTCATATTAACAAAATGATGATATACCCTGTTGGAAGCCACATATTCTTTTTTTTAGTTAGCTTCTCTTCAGGAATTTACATTATTATTATTGTCAGTTAGTCTGTTTTCAAATAACTTTTGGCAGTGGAACAATTAAAGAGAGTTTCAAAATCACAGAGGAATTTGTTCCTACCTCCTGGGAGTGTATCAAAGTTCTGGTGTCAGCTTGCAAAAACAATTAGATTAAGGAAACTATTTATTAATATATTGATATTGGCAATATTTTTAGAAGGTAAAAGCCCTAATATTCATATTCTTCACATAAATGTTCCCCATTGCTCTTCTTTTCTTTTCTTTTTTTTTTTCACCAAAATATCATTTTTAGCTTTATAAGCTCTAGTTCAGCAGCCCACTGGAAATGATAAAATACTTACTGGCTCTAAGAATGTTCTCCTTGCTGCTGCACCTGGACTGGACCTGTAGAAAGAGCATAAACTCAGTAATTTAGGGCTCATGGCATGAATAGGCAGATATGCATATTTAATGGGCAAGCTCCTGAGGTCTGGGATCAAAGGCTTTATATATTAATATTTCAGATGTCATAACATGTTAATAAAAATGTTATACTTGTTTCATCATTTTTATTTATCCTTTACTTACTTTGAAGAAAGAACTGACTTCCAAAAAAAAATTGGAGGTACAATATTATAAATTATACAGAGATAAAACAAAGGCGAGTTTTTTATTCATTTGTATTTGAAATCAGTATTTGGAAACAGATTTGTTACTGCATATTTAGTTGTAAATATTGGCCCTTAATATTAAGGTATTTAGTATATCTCTTGACTAGAATAATAAAAAATTCAAGTAATAAAGTTGTAACTAAGTATTCCATTGTAGTAATTTTTAGTATGCATATAAATGGGAGGAAAATAGAGAAATCCTTATGTAATATTTACATTTGATTTGGAAAATCTTTATTTATTGATTATAATTATAAATTTAATAATTTATCATAGTTATAATACTGATTATGAAATATGCTTCCATTGAAAATCAGTAAAACTGAACAAATTTATTTACCAATTCTTAGGTATATGTATAATTTATCAATTAGGAACCCTATGCTTTGACTCAAATGTTTAGATCAAAGTGAAACATTCTTTTAAATGTTACAAAACTGCTACATTCAAGGAGCATGGTACATGTCATTAACATGTTAATTTCAAAGGAAACTGTATTTAAGCTCCACACCTCTTCTTCCCATTCCACAGCAGCTTGCCTCAAATGGATATATACACAACAAATTAATTTCTATAGTTTAACACAATCTACTATCATAATGAAATAACTTATGAAAGGAATGTTGCAACTTAGGGTGAGTTATGATTGTCCTTCCCTGAAAAAAACAACTGTTAATGTTTAAAAAAAATGACAATAAAAAAGTCACAAACAAAAAAAAAAAAAAAAAAAATACACACAAGAAAAAAAAAAAAAAAAAAAGAAAAGAAAAAATAATTCCAAATGTTAGTTATTCTCTTTTGGCCCAGATTGTTCAACTAGTTTTAAATATACTAGAAGGAAAAAGCTAATCTGAAGATAATATTCTTACGTTCTTTTACTCAGGAGTCTTATTTAAGAACAATTCTGGACCAAATGGGAAAGAAATCAATGACTGCTTAAAGCAAATAATACAGGGAAGAAGACACAAGGATGCAGAAAAGAAAAGTGAGAGAGAGAGGTTTGAGGTTGTAAATCTAGGCAATGGAAAAGAAAGTATGGAATTACAGAAGGGGACAATATGTAAATGCAGAATGTGCTGCTATTTCTCATTAAAAATTCATACCAACAGGGTAAGAATGACTAATGAACTTGCTGCAAAATAAACAAGCAAGTTGCTATACTATGGAATGAACATAAGTATAACTATACCACTACAGCCTTAAAGAAGAAAAGAAACACACACTAACAGACAAATTAATAGACAAGCTTAATAAAGAGAGAAACTACATTTTAAAAGTGATTCAAAGAACACAAGAGAAAGCTAGAATACAGAGAGAAAAGTCTGGGAGAGAAAAGGAAAAGAAAGGGGGAAATGTTAAAAGACAAAAACAGAGTTCAAAGAAGTCAAATGGAAGTCAAGAAAGTCTTCAACAAGATGTAGAAACAGAAGGAGCCCAAACCCATAGCGCAAAGCAATGTTTGCGAATGGAAAGCAGCTCCTTTGATCAGTAATAGTTACTCTTAAGTCGTAGCCTCTATTCCTCCAGAGTTCATCTTTAAGCCCTTCCAATCTAGAGTGGAGCTAGTGTATGGATAGAAACAAGAGATTTACAATGAACAGAGCAGTTCAGATGAGTAGTTCAAATTGTCTCATAAAATGTTCCAACAGAGTTATTTAATGTCTCTTATATACATTTTATAATGTATATAATGGAAATGGTGGTGAAAAATTAGTTGGCTTTACCAAAAAAACCCAAACCAAACCAAACCAACAACAAAATACCCTCTCCCATTCCCTAGGTGACTTAAAAAATTAACAACAACAAAATCATTCATAACATGAATTGAATAAAGAAACCCAAGTATTGCTTTGTGGCACCTCAGTTTAGAACTATATATTTCAAACAGCTTTGGTGGAGAAATTTGTATGAGGAAAACAATTCAATTCCCTGAGTCTGAGCATTTATCAAGGTTCACAAATTGCCAACAGCAGTATAATCAATGCTTTCTCATTTATATTACATTGGCTATTTGAACCAGATTTGGGGAGAATTTCTTTAATATCAACGATTATAAGAATTTCTTTAGTGATCTTGAGTATGTGTGTGTCTATCTATCTATCACTGAAGAAAACAAAAATTTAAAAACATTGCTTTTTATACATGTAGCAAATAACTTTTCCTCTTGCACCATGAAACTCATCTTTATAATATTTACATAATTTTATACAATTTCAAGGTGAAAATTCTACCTAACTCACAGTGTAATGGCATAACTTGAAATGGTAAACTTGGGAAACAACTATTGTTCTTATACATATGGACTATAAAGAAGGTAACACAGGTCTGTCTCAAGTTTTATGGCTTTTTGTTTTTTTCTTTATGTTACCCTGGCTTTACTCAATGGGGAAAAAAGGAAAACCTGGAACGCAGAATAAAATAGATTTTGGCCTAATATTAAATTAGTCAGGGATTAGAAATAAAAGGTATGGTATCTGATTACCTTTTACTTTATTCCATTGGATCATGTTATTTTACTTCAGTTAATATCTGATTTTACAGTACTGACAAACAATTCCCTTTCAACCAGAATCAAAACTAAGATAACATGTAGAAACAGCATATTATATTAAAGTCAATGGAGAAAATGAAAAGCATGAAGGTCTTAATGAAAACATAGGGTATTCATTTACTTATCAAGATTGTTTTGAGACATCAAGTAATTCATTTCAACATGTGTTTACATGTGTAACATAATTTTTGCTGAAGATCACATCATCCATTAGGAAATCTTAAGATGTGAAAAGGAAAACAGAAGGGAGAGCACATAATAAATGTAAGGAACAAAAGTGAAAATGTCTTAAAAAAAGCTGAAAAAATTTTAACAAACAACCACGATCTTTAGATACAGTTAGAGAAATCACTTACCTTATGCTTAGGTCATAACAAGAATAGCACAGTGTTTAAAGTCAGCTCTTCATTATGGGAGGTACAATTGAAAGCCATAGGTTATAATAACATGAATTGCTACATAGAAATGAAGACTTTTTCAGCCCAACATGAAAAGCTAACTCTTATGTGAGAACATTTCAACTTATGTTAAATGCAACATGAAGAACAACTGAGGGTGTAAACATCAAAACACACCCAAACACATGAACCTCATACCAAAAAGAGAGAGATGGCTCATTCTCTCAGGACACAGAAGATTTAATCTGTGACCATAAGTTGGGACATATAAGGGAAGGCACATTGCTTTAACAGTGAAAGATGCATGCATAATGTATAACCATCCATTTACCTCCCCACCCTCCATCCAGCTTGTACACACACAAGCCCACTAAGATACAGGGAAAGAATGTAGTGCCAAGCTGATATGAAGAAAGCAGGACACACGAAAGCACAGCAGTGGTCATGTGATTTGAGAGCTGTTCTTCCCTTAAACCATCCCATCACCATGCTTATTTTAAAGAAGCCAGGAAAAGATTCCCTTTCAATGCTGCAGTAGCTACGAGCCCCCAGCTTGAAGCTAGTGTGTGGAATTTTGATCACCGTTCCCTGCGATGTCAGGGGCTTTCCAGTGGAAGCCAGATGTACCATAATACCAGTTAGTGGGGGTACAAATGTGTGAATAACAAGCATCTTTTCCCTTCTGCATTTCACAGAAGTGAGGGAGGAGAGAAACAACGAAAATAAAACCCATGTTAAGGATAGGTTCATAACAATATAAGGATATATACGTATTAAAATGGAAATTACATTTGATTGCAGGTTAACACAAATCAGGTTTCAAAAAATTGCCTATTTTGCTGCTCACCAGGCTAATTTGTATTCTTTTTCTCGTAAACACTATACAGTTGGCTCATACTGAAAAAATTCTGAGCACTTGGTCAGACGGGGTCAAAGTCAAGAACAAAACAGTCATCTTCTTTGATGGACATTAAGAAAACTATCATTCCATTTTAAACATGACTTTACTGGCCACTAATCACATTTTAAATTAGAAATTAAGTTTCTGTTTATGTTTACTTATATAATCTGAGAAGTCCTCTGTTTTGGAAAGACACAATGAAAATTTTAATCTTTTTACACTGTTAAAAAAGCAAACAACAAAAAAGCTACCTATTTAGAAACTGTTTCCTAAGTACTCTTGTCTACTAGCAATACAAGTTAATTAACAAGGACTATTCCTGTCAAACAATTTCAACTTTGCTCTCATATAATTGGTGACGTTAGTTAACTTTATCCATTTTATTATTTTTGTGTGAGATGAACTTTGATTCACGTGTGACATCCCAATTTAGTTAAGCAGATGTGTAAACTCTTCAATCATCATGTACTCATTTTCTCTCCCTCCTTTTATTCTTAGTAGACCTTCTCTTTAATGTGGCTTTGGTATTTTAGGCTCTGGGCCCTCACATAATCTCAGTTTCCTCACAGGAAAAATAGATTGTTTGTGGCTCAAAGGAGATAGTGCATGTATCAGTGATTTTAAGATAGAAAAACAAAAATAAACGTCATTAGTTGTCTCGAACTCCTAACCTCAGGTGATCCACCTGCCTCAGCCTCCCAAAGTGCTGGGATTATAGGCATGAGTCATGCACCTCTGGCCTATAGATGTCAGTAGTTGTTATGATCAGTGGTGCTACTGACAGCTATAAAAATAACTCTGTGATTACACACCCTCTTCATTATAATGTATGCAAGCTCTTGTTTTTAATCCAAAGAGGGGGGAAATTCTGCGTACAGTTATATGTTTCTCAGTAGGAATAGGCCAGACAATTTTAGAAATGTCATAGCCATATGGCCATAGGCAGAGTAGGCATGCAAGCCATATAATCTAAGGCATGGAACAAAGTCTCAACCAGTTCCTCTAGAAAATGCTTTGTATTATTGAGCTTTTAGACCTTAAGCTGTTGCCTTTCTCTGGAATATACTGTTGCTTATTTTCTGATCCGAATACTACTGTCCTTTAAGACCAGCTTAGATTACACCAGCCATTAAAAAAAAATTCCCAAGTTCCTCAATCAGAAATAACTTCTTCTTTCTCTAAACACATTTAGCAGTGTTAATTGTGATATAATTTACCTACCATAAAACTCATTCATTTTAGGTAAAAAAGTATTAAAAGTTTGATGACTTTTAATAAAGTTATATGATTGTGCAACTATCACTACAATCTAGGCTTAGATTTCCCTAAATTCTTAAGGCATCTTATTTGAACTTCTATTACAGGACTTATCAAAGTTTAGAATATAGAATATGAGTTCATCATTACCCATATTCCAATTACTGATATGAGTCCCCAAACAGACTGTAGGTTCTTAGAGGAAAAGCATCATGACTTTAATCCTACTATATTAAACATAGTGCTTTGTACAGAGGAAACATTTGCTAAATCTGAATGTTTATCTTGTAGTAATTATTTTCCTTTTCAATCTCAGCAGACTAAAATTTATTTTTAATAGCATTAAGTATTATCATAGCCATCCCTGTACCTGTTTTAACAGCTTACAAACAATTTTTACTTATTTGGGTCTGACAGTATTAAGAGATAATATGAGAAGTATGTGGATTATAGCTAAGAGATACCTGAGTATGCTATAGAATGACCTCAAGAATTTAGAAATTAATATTATTTAAGGTTAATCAAATAGTGACATTTGGAGTACAATAAAGATTTTCTATACCAAGGATTTCAGGTTAGGTTAAGAAGATTTTTTATTTTCTAAGACAGCAGGATGTATTATATCTTACATGGTCACTAGAATTACAGAGATGACAGTTTTTGACGCATCAAGGCTCATTTTGACTTTAGTTTTTCTACCTTATTAAACTTATTTAAGAGTAATCAGTCTCTGAAAGAATGAACTTCTTTGAGGACCATCTACTCATAAGATTAAGAGGAGAGAGAAAAAGGGACCATTTACTCAGATTACTTGCCTCTTTAGCCTACCCAGAAACAGAAGAAAAAGTTTGATTTAAATAACATTAAGCCAATAACTCTACAAACTTAGACTCTTACATTCTACTTCTTTCTCTTCTTACTTCTTAAACACAAATGAATAATTGTTCTAGAAAAGTTTTATCCATAGTTCCATTCATGCATCACTTTATTGGAATAAACTGGGATGCAAGTATTTGGCTCATTTGAGTTTAATGGTAACTCTTATGTGTTTAATTAGATTTATGATGTCACTGCACATGTTCAACGGAAGAACTCAAAGAGTTTTGGCTTATTTATGACATGAAAGGAAGCACAATAAAGAGGATCTCCTTTGGAGTGCCATGGTATGATTTCTAATACTAGATTTTCCTCTTCCTAGCTGTGTAACCTTGGATGTGACATTTACCATTTGGAGTTTTAATTTCCTTATCCATAAAATGGGGAAAATTAAGTAGGATACTGTATGTGAAAGTGAAAACTATTGTAAGTAAAAATAACAACAGAAATCTAAGTTGTTATTATCTTTATGCATATTTTAAGTCACATATATTTTATACAGGTAGAATCTGAGGCACGATGAGAATAAAGAATTTGCTATAAATCATGCTAAGAATCAGTGACAAATAATAGGCTAAT